ACAAAAAAAAAAAAAAAAAAAGAGAGAGAGAGAGAGTGAAAGGTAACAGAGCCAAGGCAGCCAGGAAGGCTCTGGAGGCATCTTACCTCATCAGTGCATAGGACACGTGTGGTACTGCGCAGGGGTGTTGGGAGGGCAGTGAGTGTAGGATTCAGGCTAGAGCACAAGGGTAGATGGGGACTTGGGTTCTGAGACTTGGGAGAGACTCGGGGTTTCCCAGGACACAAGCTGACCCGGGCCAGGTCTCGGGGCAGCAAGCCCAGTGGACACCTGGGTTCCTCGCACTTGGTCCATTCAGGCCCTGTTTCCCGGAAATGGGCAGAGACTTCTGGGCAGTGGTTTGTCATCAAATGTTGGTTCTTTTCTTTTCCCTCTTCTTCCCTCTTTCTTTGTGGTACTAGAAGATTGAACCTGGGCCCTTCACATACCTCCAGCCCTTTTTTTCATTTTTAATTTTGAGACAGGGTCTCCTTAAGTTGCCCAAGCTGGATTTAAAATCGTGAAATCTGTCTGCCTCAGCCTCCCAGAGCACTGGGATTACAGGTGTGTGTCACCACACCCAGCTTTCTTTGTATCTTTTTCTTTTTCTTTTTTTTTGGTACCAGGACTCAAACTCAGGACCTTGCGCTTACCAGGCAGGCACTCATGCCACTGAGCTATACTTTTGGCCCTTTCTTTGTTTTCTAATGCCTCTTTTTCTGGTTGTTGTGTTGAGCTCGGGATCAACCTGGGCCTCACACATGCTTTCTCGATTCTTATAAGGCCAGTGCATCAGAATAAACAGTCTGCAGTAGCAATTATAGTGTCTCCACCCTTTTGTTTCCATCTTGCTTTTTCCTTTAACATTTTAATTTAAGCAGTCCTCATGCTCCTTCCCACTTGAGTGATGTGGACCCAGCAGCAGTTTGGGGTTGGGATGACCTGGCTCTCCTGTCCTCACCATGCCTCCACCTCACTCCAGACCCCTGGGGTCGAGTTCCCCAAACCCCCACTTGGGCATACTTTCACCACGCTGCACACCAAGGGTGTACGAGGTAGTGCTCGGAAAGTGCTTAGACTCGTGCTCAATAAACGCCAATTTGACTCATTATTCTTTCTCTACAATGGGGCTAATAGCCTGTCAGGAAAGGTTACTGAGGATAAAAAAGTGTGTGCAGATTGCCCTGCGTACGTATGTGCATACGCTTGAACACACACACACACACACACACACACACACTTCTTCGCCTTGCTCACATTAAACAAACTCAAGTGCAGTATATTCTGAGTCCCCTAAGGGAAGAAACTTTCCTGAACTCCCAGCCCAGCACGGTGCTGCGGAGCCACACCCTTCCTTCACCCTTGAGCGCTAGCAAAGTCACAAAACTCTGGCCCCGGAGCGCCAGCCCCAAAGATGCCGACCTCTGAGCGACTTTCTCAAGATGACCACCCTCCCCCCCGCACCCCGGGAGGCCCCTCAGCCGCTTAAATAGTCACTTCCTCTTTGATTGACAAGGGCAGCGGCCAGTGCTCGCCCAGGGGAGGCCCCTTGCGCGCGCTAGGGGCGTGTCCCCTGGCCCAATCCAGAGCGCCGAAAGGGTTTCGGGGCGGGGTTCTGTGCCCAGCAGCCAATGGGACGAGCCCAGCGGGCGCGGCGGGGGCGGTGCGGTGGCAGCTGGCGGCAGAAGCGGCCGCGGCGGGTCTGGGCAGGGCTTGGGCAGCGCGGCCG